AAAAAAGTACGAACAACTGTACGGAAAAGTACGGGATTACGAATGTAATTCTTTTTATATTTTCACAAAACAAGAAATTGTTTGATCTTTAGTCGATCTGTATTTTCCAGGTGGCGTATAGCTGAATAATCGGATGATTTCCTTAGATTCCCGTTTTCGATTGTCCTGTAGAAGAATTATTCCAATACATTTTTTGTCAATCTTCTCAACCATATCAATTTGTGTGGTCAACAATATTAGTATTATTGCTTTGTTCAAATCAACTTTTCTGTTAGGCTTTTAAATAGAAGATATCATTTTGCTGCATTTGTGAAACCTTAACTGTTTGTATGTAATAAGTAGGTATCATTGGAAAAATAAACTTTTCTCAACCAGTGTCAATCACAATCACAACGTAGTTTCAACGCATACTTACTCTCTGAAAAATACCAGACTTTTTAATTTACCCACTTCCTATTTAGCGATTCGTTAGTTGCCCAAAAAACGTCTATGCAGTGCACTCGATATTTAACGTGAAATACTAATATTCCGTAAGCCAACATTGTTGCATTTTTCATCTAAGCGCACATTTTACCTTGTAAGGTGATCAAATCAGAAATTGATTTTTGTTCAGTTTTCAGCACATGAACTGGTGCCGCAAAGTCATTATTATAATTTACTCAAATTCTCAACGAGAGAGCTACTTATTATTGACTCTACAATTTTAGAATCGACAACGATTCCAATGCTTTATTTGCTTAATTCGGTCATCCGAATACTACCAGCGAATACTCCAATGAAAAATCCAAAACGCATCGCTTAGAGTAAATGGCAATTTTTGGCAGTTTGACCATGGTTTTCTATGAAAGTATTGATTTGGATGTGCGTCCGTGTGTCCGTCGATTTTTTCGACCCTCCACAAATCCCGATATGCATATGCTTAAGTTGTAGCTTGTGTCGGGGCACATCGGAACCTGTCCTCAGATTGACATTTGCATCACAGGAGAGCTGGCTATGGCTTCACAACCTGCATGTATACGATTTTTTGAAGTATTTATTTCGCATACTAGATCAACTCAGACACCCATCGGACAAAGTTGGCTTGTAATCATTTGAAAAGACCTTAAAAATAACTCCAGTTGTTTGTCTATTAACCCTTTGACGACCTTTGGGACACGTATGTCCCATTTTGTTTTTCGTCAATATTTTCCACATTTTTAAACCGATTTCGATACAATTGATTTCTTTTGGAAGAGAATGAACGTAGCTACCAGAAAGTACCATAATATTGGATATCTATCATCACTGTGCTCAATAGAACACATCAAAGTCAAAAAATCCTAACTTTTTTTTTCAAGTTGCGTCAAACCCTATATGATTTGAACGGTGCTACTTTTAAAGCTGAAAATTTGGAATGTTGTGCGGAATGTCCGCTACTTTCTAAAAATAATCGACTTTTCTCCAGATTTTTTTTTTAGAAATTTTCATTGCTTCATCCTCGTCTAATACCATTGATTTTATATGTAAAATAACAAAAAGAAACGACAAAAGTGACCTCTCGTAGCGGCACAGTTGAAACTAACGAAACAAACACAATTGAACATGTCATTTTCATGTTCAGTGTTGGTTCTGTTGTTTACCGTATGGCCGGAGAGAGATGTCTACAGCTTAGTGGCGTTGAATGACATTCAACACCCATGCATTGCTTCTGGCGCGATGGGACATGTGTGTCCCATTGGTCGGTAAAGGTAACTAATTACCACTGATTTCCCTGTATTTGAACCATTTTTCGCGAATTTTCAAACACACAAATTTACAAAAATATTATTAAATTCGTGATTAAATGGGCACAACAAAGCATAATTCAAACCATTTTCGGTTCCAAACGATTCTAAAAAATTTAAAAATGAAAAAGTTTCTACATGTAGTTCCTATGGGAGACATGTTTTTTCATAGAGAAATAGTTACCGTTACCGACCAATGGGACATATATGTCCCATCATTTTTTTCTAGATTTTTTTCATATTTGCAATTAAAAAAATTAATTTTTGATAACACTTTTACTAAGGTTTTTGGGGTCGCTGAGCACGAATCTGCAATCAGAATTGCAAAATTCCAAGCCGTTCAGTTTTGGTCGTCAAAAATTAAATTGCTTATAAGCCGTATACGGTATTAAATATTAGAATTATATTTTGTTGGATTTGGACTCTCTGAGAAATGCGAGGCTTTTCAATTTACCCACTGTCACCACCAATGTAGAATACAACAGCCCATTAGTACGCTTGCATCGTCATAGTATCCTTGAACCCAAAACATTTGTTATTTTCAGGCCCTGAAGAAGAGTCGCAGGTGACTTGAAACGACCGAATTGGCTTTCATTTCAAAATCAATTCTTTTCTTAATATTCTTGATTTAATGAGATAAAATGAAATTTTGGCGATAATATGGAAAACGCACACCACGGAGGACCTTTAAGCTTTTGACCAGAACAAACGCCATCTAACGATGGCATTATAACAAGTTTGACCGTATTTAGATAGTAAAGCTTAAACGAAAATTCAATGCTAGGTAAAAACTTCTTGAAAAGTGCTTGATAACTTAATAAAATGAATACATTTTTCGATCTTTGACACAAACGGAACAAGTTTTTTTTCTCAGTATTAGGCTGAGTCCAAATGCTCGCTCGGCTATAAAATTAATAGCCGGCTAGAAAAATTCAAAACCGTCTTTCGCCGTATGTAGTGGGTTTGTTATATCAGGTTATTTAATTCTCGGCTATTGCAAGCCACTGGACCCAAATCCGCACATAGTTTGAGGCATTTGTCGCTGTAATGACAATTTTCATTTTCTAGCCGGCTAAAAAAAAATTCGCATTTTTTGGGGAAATTTCAGTCGGATGAAATGAATTAGGACAAATAATGACGATTTGCATCAAAAACCGCAATAATTTCATCGATATTTTTGATTTCTTTGAGTTTTTTGAAATTGTTTTTTTTTGGACTTTTTTAAAAATTTTATGGAAAATTTCATTCGAATGGAATATATTAGGGCATAAAAAGAGGTTTTACATCAAAAATTTTCAAGTCCTATAATTTCTCAACTACTCAAAATTGAGCAATAGTGTCTGAAGCAACTTTTAAGTACTCCTCAAGACCTTTGCATACCATGTTCTAAAAGTACTAAAAGAGTTCTAAAAATGTACTAAAAAGTACTAAATGTTGCAAACCCTTTGTATGGCTGTGGTCGACTCTGGGCGATGGATTTACTGTACGAAATCATTTTAAACGTACAGTATTGGACCGTGATATACCCTACTGAGCGTTACCTAGCTGTTTTATTAATATTTGAATACAAAAGAATTCCCATATTTCCTAAGAATTTCACATTCCGTTGAATGTTGTTTTATTCATTTGGCACATGTGCCGGACAAGTACCAAGCAAACTGAAATATATTTATCTTGAGAAATTATAGGACTTCAAAATTTTCGCAAAAAAATACAAAAAATCGAAAAAATTGAAAATTTTTGATGTAAAACCTTTTTTTATGCCCTAATATATTCCATTCGAATGAAATTTTCCAAAAAAAAAATTAAAAAAAGTCCAAAAAAAACAATTTCAAAGAACTCAATTTTTTCCAAAAAAACTCAAAAAAAATCAAAAATATCGATGAAATTATTGCAGTTTTTGATGCAAATCGTCATTATCAGGGCCGAAGAAAATATTTACGCTCAACAGCCAAAATATTTATTTAAATATCTCTGAAAAAGGTCCAAAATATTTGCGATAAATTGAAAAAAACGTCCAAATATTTAAAATAAATAAAAAATATTTACGATGAAAATCGGTTTATTTGAACTAGTTTTGCATTAATCCAGTTGATTACAAACGATAGCGACATATTTTTTTAAGTTTTCAAATATCAATGATCTACGGTTGTCGCTCAGAACGTTATTGTACCGTGAAAAAGTGCGCTCGACGTCACAAGATGTAATCGGGGCGAATTTGAAAGCAGACAATTCCTCCGGTGATAGCGCTTCAACCAATTTGTCTTTTTTGGTGCTTTTGCCTGTGCTCAAAATGATTGAAATTTCCTTCATTTTCTGGAAACCCTTGTTGCGAGCTACAACTCGATCAAATTTCTCGAGAAATCCAGATCTTCCGCGGATTTGTTGAAGGTTTTTGCGCACCGATTCAAATGTTTCAAGAGAATCAACAAGCGGTGCATGCTTTGCTTGCAATTTCGTGATGTTTGTGACAATACAAGAGAAGTTGTTCTTGATAAAAGTCAATTCTTTTTTCAAACTGGGCTTTGCGATCACGGTTTGAGCCTTTGCTATCGATTTTGCATCTTCTGAATCCAAAGCATCCAAAAAAGTTTTGATTTCGTTGAAATGGTCCGCATAGTAAACGGCTGCTTCAATCCAAGTCCCCCAGCGAGTCACAACAGGCTGCGGTGGAAAAGGTAAATCGGGAAACATTGCCTTGAATTTGTGTTTACGTGATGCAGCCTGCACAAACGAACAATTGTTTTTTTAACGTTTCACAATTTGCAATAAAACCGATTCATTTTACCTTTGTAAGCATTTTCTTCACGTTTGAGATCAGTTTGTTCACATCCTTGTGTTCATCGCGTACGTATTCCGCCACTCGATGTAATCCATGAGCAGCACAAGTAAAATGAATCATTTTTGGGTATAGAATAATCAATGCATCCATTGCACATATCATGTACGCTGCCGCATCAGTCAAACATAGGAGAACTTTGCACTTTTGAACGCCTATGAATTGAATGGAAATATTCAAAATGCTTATACAATGCACATCGATATTTTCAATTTCGTTTACCCAGTTCATTTATGCACTCGTCGAAAAATGCGGCAATTGCGCTGTTATTGACTGCATCCAACACCTTCGACGCAAACAAATAGCTTCGACCGAATTCCTTCACAACGCCCAATACACCAAAGACAAAATTGACAACGTATCGTTGTTCGCAATCGGTCGATTCATCAAGAGACACCCAAATAAATTGATCTGCTGCAATTTGCTTTAATTTTGTCAGTGTTTCATCAAACAATTGGGGCAGGTACTTGTTGCGCAGTGTAAAAACTGATGGCAAGGCATACTTTGTGTGTTTTTCAAAGAGCTCTTTGACCGCTGGATGTGTAATTTTATGAAATGGAATATTTGCTTGGGCAAATGCTTTGGCCAGATCTTTGTGAAATTCAATTGCATCACGGTCGTTATCAGCTGTGTCATTCTTCACTGTTGTGAGCAGAGTTTGAGTTTTATTGTCACCAGTTTTATTTTTTCGAGCAATGCTTGATGCGTGTTTTCCTGTCTTGCGGTGCTGTTCGACTTGACATTTTTGAGTTGCAGTTACTGGAACATCACACATTTTGCAAAATAGAACCGAATCGTCCGCGCGAAATTCATTTGGATATGTTTTCTCCATTCGTTTGAAAAACGCCTTGCCACTTTCCTTGTCTTTGCCCATTTTAAGTTTCTTATGACATTGCACAACCAACTCACATTATGACTCGCGTCAGACTGAGTATCGAATTTCAAAGTGTCAAACTGCATGTCTTCACAGCCAAACTAATTACCGTTATTTATGTTTGTTTACAATAACAAACGCCGCTCGAATCGATCGATTAGTTGCGTTCTGCATCAACTCATCCACTGTAAACAGACGAGCACATTGTATACAGTTCGCCGTATTGTTTTCAACGACACTTGCAAAATTCCACGAAAACAATCATATAAATATTTTAAAAGAGAAGTCAACGCCAAATTCGTTTTACATAGACCTCTTATTGAACTAACTTCAGCGGTTGGTGACAAGTATAATGTATAAAATGTCAGCGCTGACTTGGTTTATTCTTTAAATTGTGAAACAGAAGAATAAAACTAATGCTGTATTTCGAAAACGGTGAAAATATTTGAATTTTGTGTTTGAAATATTGGTTATATGAATGCATTTTAAGGCGAAAGTGCCAAAATATTTATTTAAATATTTTTTTCCCCGAAATCGCCAAAATATTTATTTAAATATATTCTATTTAAATAAATGTTTTCTTCGGCCCTGAGTCATTATTTGTCTTAATTCATTTCATCCGACTAAAATTTCCCCAAAAAATGAAAACAAAATTTTTTCTAGCCGGCTCTAAATTTTATAGCCGACTAGAAAATGAAAATTGTCATTACAGCGACAAATGCCTCAAACTATGTGTGGATTTGGGTCCGGTGGCTTGCAATAGCCGAGAATTAAATAACTTGATATAACAAACCCACTACATACGGCGAAAGACGGATTTGAATTTTTCCAGCCGGCTATAAATTTTATAGCCGAGCATTTGGACTCAGCCTTAGTGATATTTCTCTCGAATCTGTGCCATAGATTTTTTACCACTACGAAGAATTTGTTTCATGGAAACAAAAAGTTGGCTGTGTTGATACGAAATGCGACAGCGACAGAATTTTTTTCTTTTTTATGTGATTTGTATCGGATTGTAAGTATTTCTTTACGTGTGTGTTCATTGGAATTTCAAACTAATTGAGGAGCTGTCTATATTTCTATGGAAAGTGTTACTGAGTATGGATATGATTTTGCATGAGATTCGCTTCTAATTTTTCAAGGGAATGCGTAGATTTGTATCAATATCATCGTATCCTACCTATACCTTTTACCTTATTGAGTGATGTAAAGTAAATGTGATACCGTATATCCTTGCATCAACTAACACTGTAGATATTGAACAAAGCAACGCCACCATGCCATGTGAGCCTGAATGTAACGCAAAGGTATGAGTCAGGTCGTTTGATCATTCAGATTCTAATTTACATCATGTAAGCGACGGTTGATCTGTGGTCAACTTTGGATCGACTTTGAAACGGAATGTGTTTTGTGCATGCAGCGAAGATGTGAACATTTTTAAATTTGAACAGCCACCTGCCATAGTAACACCACTCAACCCTTCAAGAGTGAAAAATATTTACTTTTTAAATTTTCACATTGAATTTGTAGTTTCAAGAAGGTGATGAAAGAATAAATGTAAACATCTGATAATTTCAATGCGTGAAAATGTGAAACGCGAAATTAAACACACGTGCACAGGTGGAATTGTAATTCCATCAATTGTTTGACATTGTTATCTTGAAAAATGTGTGCGATAATATTTTGTGGGCTTTTATGCAAATCGTCATTGTACGTGGATTGAATCATACGACGTGGCCACACTTGAAAAGTATATAAGAGGATGCGTTCGATTCGCATGTCCATCAAACAGT